CTGCTTGAGTTAGGGGCTAGAATACAGTGCTGAAGAGGAGGTTAGGAGGGGAAGATCTGTGGGATCCTCAGGAGATTTGGGCACAGGGAAGGAAGATACAGCTGGAGATCTGTTGCAGAGATTGGGATGAGACCGAGAGACTGGCTCTGGAGTAACAGAGCCATCCTTTCGTTTTTGATTGAGTGACTTTATAAGCATATACCAAGCAAAAAGTAAAAGAATAAATGGCAAGCAGTAGACAGATAGAAGAACATCATCAAACTGGGCATTCAAAGCATCCAGTAGAGAGAATTAGCGAAAGAAAATTGAGAGAACAAAAAAGGGTAAAATCATCAAATCTGGAGGCTTGCAAACACCCAGCAGAAACATTGTGAGGGAGCCACTTGAATTCAGCAGGCTGGAGAGTCCTGTGAGGTCTCATGCAGAGTACCAGGCAGAACAGAATGTTCCCTCTGGTGGGGCTTCCAAGTAAAAAAACAAATAGCTGCAGATAAAGATTAAAACATCAAATGAGATGCTCACATCCAGCAGAAACCATCTAGGGAAGCTGAGCTGAGTTCCCATTTGAGCTTTCTGTCCCTGGATGAGATTGCCAGAGCTGGACTTCCAGTTTCCCTTTCCCACAGCAGGCACTTTTGTATCACATGACAAACAGCAGGAACATCTGCTGGAAATGCTTTAGCTTCTTGCTGTTTCAAGAGCACACTCTTGAGTGTTTTTGTCCCAGTTGGGGTGGGGGAGCAACCCCTCCTCAGCGGATGGGCATCAAAAGACACTTTTACAAAATGTATTGGAGTCTGAAAGCGAGAGTGAGGCTCAGCCCTGCTTCAAGAGCCAGCTTCTCAGTGCGCTCAAACAACACATGGCAGGCAGTTTATCAATATAATATACATAACGAACAATACTGAACAAGCCAAATACGTCTTAATTTCTTCTCAAAAACTCTCTCTACTATATTACTTCCTTAGGCTGATACACATGTACATAAACTTAATTATTAATTAAGGAAATTAGCACATACTTTACATTATATATAATTTATTTATTGGTTAAGAAATTTAAGGTTTACTCAGCAAATTTCAAGGACATAGTAGAGTAATACCAACTACGCTCACTGTAAATGCTAGTTGCCCAAAATCATTTTTCCTGTAACTGAAATATTCAATACATTGACCATCATCTATTTCCCCCAGTCTTAGTCTCCTACCAATTCCCATTCTCCTTCTGCTTTTAAGAATTATAAGAATACTAGAATCTTCCATTTAATGCTAAATATTGATTATGATATTTCTTACCAAAACTTCCTTTTCAATTACAGTTCTCCTCTTAACTCATTTATGTAGGACTTTAAAATCATATCTCAGAATTGTTCACAACAGTCTGTGCATTTAATCTACAAAATAATATTATGAAATAAAATTTATTTTGTCTTTTTGAGGATGCTCAGTGGAGATGATGATGTTGCCACCTGTTCATAGCACCTATGTTTATTAGGAAACAATTTTCCTGAAATAAAGTGATGATATTCTGTGTTAAAATCCCTTATCTGAGTAACAGAGTACATTTACATGACATTAAAAAGAAATAGTTAAGAATATATGAATATTAAAAAAAAGACATAACAACAATT